TAAAAACATAGATCTTATTTCTTCTTTAATCAAAGAGGTTAATTTAGTCATCTTTGCAAGTTTTCCCCAAGTTTTCATTGCCATTCCCGTTTTTGAACAGGTAATAGCTTTGCTGCACTTTCCACATATGAAAACAAAGTTCTGTGACTCTCTCTCTCTCTCTCTCTCTCTCTGTGTGTGTGTGTGTGTGTGTGTGTGTGTGTGTGAGAGAGAGAGAGAGAGAGAGAGAGAGCATGATACTACTTAGTTAAAGGAGAAGCAATTCTCACTGTGAAGCCAATCTAAATGTCCTGATTTTCCAAGTAACTGTATTAAAAACAGCTGTAGGTAAATATATTGCAGTAGACTAGTTTCATCACTGTCAATACAGTATTTGGGGGGGGGGGAAACCCAGCTGTCAAGGATATTATTATTGTTAAATATTAAAGCTTTTTGAGTGAAAGCCTTTCCCAAACACCCTAAAGGAGCTACAACTCCCAGAAGGGCTGGTTCAGCTGTTTTTAAAAATTTCCTTCACTGTGTGCACATGCACAAAAGCACAAACCACTCTCTGTACTGGACTCTTATTGGACCGTGAAGAGTTTTTGCTAGAGCATACAGTATGTGTTCAGATAACAGGAAGCATCTTCAAAGCAGCTGAGCTGACCTTCCAGAGATAACAGCTGCTTTAATACTTCAAGGAGGGGAACTTCACTCGCGCCATTGGGCTTCATGAAGTTCCAGTTGAATGCTTTGCAATCCTAGTTATTATTTTCTAAGTGATATTGAGTTCAGTAAGTACAGCTCAACATTCACTTTCTATAAACAGGCACTTCTCCTGGTCAATTCCAATGGCTTGCTTAGCTTTGTTCCACGAGTAGAATATCAGTTGGCACGTAATTAAAACTGTGAATGTTTAATTGACTTTACACTTTCTCCCTAAATAGCTTTCCCATGTGAGTCAGTGATTATCTTGTGAGTTTGCTTCCTATTCCTGTATTGTAAGTACTCACCATCTCAGTGAAGAGATAACGTCTGTTTGATAAGCTAAATTAACAAAATAAACTACTGGTAACTATAGACCAAATCCAGATTTGATTGACATGGCATTCCTGAACTAATGCACACATTATATTTTACATCTCTGGGAATTTTCAGGCTTTGCTCCTGACTAACCTGACATTTTAAAATTATTATAAGAAATGTGAAACAACCAAATGGCCAAACAGAGAGGAATGGAACAGTATTGCACTATTTTAATAGGTTTGTTGTTGTGGTTAGTTGCGAAGTCGTGTCTGACCCATTGCGACCCCATGAACAACTTTCCTCCAGGCCTTCCTGTCCTCTATCATCCCCCGGAGACCATTTAAACTCACGCCGACTGCTTCAGTGATTTCATCCAACCGTCTCATTCTCTGACGTCCTCTTTTTCTTTTGCCCTCAATCTTTCTCAGCATTAGGCTCTCCTCCAGTGAGTCCTTCCTTCTCATTAAGTGGCCAAAGTATTTGAGTTTCATCTTCAGGATCTGGCCTTTTAAAGAGCAGTCAGGGTTGATTTCCTCGAGGACTGACCGGTTTGATCACCTTACAGTCCAAGGAACTTGCAGGAGTCTTCTCCAGCACCATAGGCTTCAAATCTTTGACAATTTTAATAGCTAGATCTCTGTAAAACCTGATCAATTTTTGAATAATCATACAGAGGAGAGCAATTATTTTTGAAGTGGCATATTTTACTGTTTTAATATAGGCATGAAGAACCAAACGTTTAGCTGTGGAAGAATAGGAACAATAACGATAGGGCACTTTATGACCAGCAAAACTAAAATGCTATTTTGATTACATATTCCTCTGTGCTATTAATGTCTAATGGAAAATCAGCACATCATTTTATGTGTCTTTTAAAAGTCACATGATCTTCAAGAACAGTCTCAGTTCTTGAAAAACTATGAAAACAAGTATTTGAATGAATAAACTGTATTAAAACATTTTAATCCAACTAACCATTTTCTAAAAACATTACATGCAATTTCTAAGGAAAATTTAAGATTTTGAAATTCAAATAAGGATTAATAAAACTTCACTATGATTCATGATCAGTGAAAGAAACATCCAAAATTTATTTATAGTACATTTGTGAAAATAATTCAGATGTTATAATAATTTATCTGTATGAAATAAAAAAATAAATAAGTCAGGATACTTACTACATGCTGATTTTTGACTGTAAAATCAAGACCTCTGTACCAAGTGCAAAACAAGGACTTCTCAGAATGGAGTCATTTTGGAAGCTTTGATAGAAAGTGGCAGGGTTTTTTTTTCACTTTTGAAATTTAAATAGCACAAAGTATACTGTTGATTGAGAGATCCCATGACAACAAATGTTTCTTAGAGGAAATGTAATGCCTATTAAGTGGTTTTAGTGAAAGCTATTATCTTTCGGTGACTTCTACTTTGCCCTTAGTAAAGTGTAATTTTCTAATATTTTTTCATCATGCTATTTCTGGTAACTCCTAATGAACACTAGAAAATTAATAATAAAATCTCAATGAATCTCTCTATATGCGTGCGTGAACCACTCACGCATTAATCACGAAATCTCCAGAACTGTAAAGCCTACAAACTTGAAATTTGCCACATATGTTCCTCTTGGCTTCTAGGTGCTCACTAAGAAAGGATTTTTCGAAATGACCATCAGAGCACTAATATTTCCTATATTATTATAACACGCTCTGATGCTAATTAGTTAGATGTTCTACTCCCCCTCCCAACTTGAAAATAACTCTGGAGAGAATGGGATAGCATAGGGCAGGCTTCTGTGGGGCAAGCCTCATGGAGAGAAGGGGCTAGAAAGCCTGAGGGAGAGAAGGGGCTAGGATAGAAGTTTCTGTGGGGCAAGCCTGAGGGAGAGAAGGGGACAGGATAGGAGATGTTTCTGTGGGGCAAGCCTGAGGGAGAGAAGGGGACAGGATAGGAGATGTTCTCAAGTGGGGAGAAGCTAGCTGAGAGGAGAGAAGGGGACAGGATAGGAGATGTTTCTGTGGGGCAAGCCTGAGGGAGAGAAGGGGACAGGATAGGAGATGTTTCTGTGGGGCAAGCCTGAGGGAGAGATAGGAGATGTTTCTGTGGGGCACAGGGGAGGGGGACAGGATAGTGTTCTGTGGGGCAAGCCTGAGGAGAGAAGGGGACAGGATAGGAGATGTTTCTGTGGGCAAGCCTGAGAGAGAGAGGGGACAGGATAGGAGATGTTTCTGTGGGGCAAGCCTGAGGGAGAGAAGGGGCTAGAAAGACTGAGGGAGAGAAGGGGATAGGATAAGGGAGGATTCAAGCTGTAAGTGTCGATTTATCAAGCCCGATCACATAGTTTCGTAGCAAAGCACGGGGCTCCAGATAGTTTCTAATATTACCCAGACCTTGTCTGAAGCCAGATATGAATATTCCCAGAAAAGTTAAACTTCAACCTAAACTAAGGTTTTTATCGAATAAAGGAATTTATGCCAAGTTCTGTAAGGAAAGTTTTGAAGACACCCTTAATATAGTACAGTTCAACCAGTCAGCCGACTGAAAGACTTTTCTTGTGTTGAACAATGACTGGCTTACATTTTGAAATTTAGCTTCAAGGGTATAGATATTATTCTAGATTACAATTTCCTAATGAATAAATGAATATTTCTGTTTCTTGTCGCTAAAATGATACAAAATCCTACTCTCTGCTGTCAAAGCTTTGAACACCGTCTTGATGCCTTTAATAATTTTACTTTTGGAGTTTAATATACTGTTTAAATAGACTTGCGTTCATCATCATAGTAGCCTAAACACTTGCAACAGAGGCCGGATTCCTGTAAAGCTACCTCTAGCTTTTTATAGTCATATGCAGTGTTCCCTCTTCGTTGTACAAACAAGGTTGAAAGCAACAGTACATTCTCCTAGAGGAAAAAATACCAAGCTCATTAAAATCCCAGGAGCTACTATTATCATGAAGTAATTGACCACGTTACTATAGATGGTTAAGTATCGTAAAGTGAAATCAGAGAATACTTTGTGCTAAGGCTAAATACAGTATCAGATAAACCTCGTTGGAAAAGATAGAATTGCAGTTCCTATTGATGGATCTCCGGCTTGGAAAGAACATCAGGCAATCTTTGTACGCAACTTTGTCAGCTATTGTGTTTTCTGCCAGCTCATGAGAAAAAAAACAGAAGTAAAACCAAATTCAAGCAGTCCTCCACCCAGAATTTATGTTGCTAAGTGAGAAATTTGTTAAGTGAGTTTTGCTCCATTTTACAACTTTTCTTACTACATTTGTTAAGTCAGGGGTTGGCAACTTTAAACACTCAAAGAGCCATTTGGACCCGTTTCCCACAAAAAAGAAAACACCGGGAGCCACAAAACCTTTTTGACATCTAAAATGAAGATAAAACTGCATATATCATTTTTTTACTTTTATGCTTGTATGTTGCATTTATGAAATCAATGAACATTTTTTTTTTTTTGCATGCAACAAAAACATTTTGAACTCAAAAAAAAAAAAAAGATGGGTCAAAAACTTCAATAAATTGTGTGCCAGCAGGTGTCTCACATTGGCAGTTGTGATGCATATTTTTGAGCGACAGGGAGCCGTAGCAGAGGGATGAAAGAGCCACACGCGACTCCAGAGCCGCAGGTTGCAGACCCCTGTGTTAAGTGAATCAATGCAGTGTAAATCAGTGACGCAGTTGTTAGGTGGATCTGGTTTCCCCATCTTGGCAGCAGATCGCAAATATGAGCACATGATCCCGGGGACACTGCAATGGTCATAACTATAAGTCAGTTGTCAAGCTGACAATCACGTGACCATGGGGATGCTGCAACGGTCGTTAAGTATGAAAAATGGTCAAAACTCACTTTTTTCAATGCCGTTATAATTTCGAACTAGATGAACTGTTGTAAATCAAGGACTTCCTGTAATTTGTTACAAGTAAAGGTATATGGCTACTTTGCTGTGATGGTATTAAACTCAGAGGCATTAAAACAAAGATTGAATATATAATTCCACAGGTTGTGTTTATTGATGTGTACATCAGGTCAAGTTAATGACTAGACTTTTTACAACAACTGAACTGATAGACAATGACAACAGAAGCAGTTATGTGTTTAGGCTGAAGATGGAAGAAAACCACTTGTTTTAAAACAGAGCAATGTACTAAAATGAGAACTGGTATCAAGATCATTAGAATATAAATTGACTGAAACCAAACTAACTTCACAAAGAGTACAGAATAACCAAGTCCAACTTTATTCATCTTTGCTTTTTGAAAATCAGCCCAAAACTCTTGATTAGCAGGATACGAAGACCAAACCATCTTTAATTTTTGCTTTAGCTCTTGTAATAGAAGGACATTATTTACAAAGGATGATGTACTAATTAATTACAATATGCAACAGCTCTTCATCTAGGCTTTCATAAATAAGGTGAATTTCCAACCTGTCTGATAAAATAAGTGGCTTGTTATCTATGGAAAGTATACATAAACTACCCACTCAACTACCTTCCTCTCCTCCTGTGTTCTATTTTCCATTTTTAATGAGAGCAGCTAGCTCAAATCTTATTCAATCTGGCAGAGGCTGAAATTTCAATTCTCCAAATTCTCAGTCATGGGAAGGTTATGCATTTCCTGAATGCAGAGTAAAATAACTTCTCAAATTCTGGACATTTGCCACGAAAGTCAAAGTCACCTTATTCTACAAATTGTAATTTGCCCTGTGAAATGCTGATTGGTAACCATATTTCTCCTACAATACATAAATATGGTATTTATATATGAATGAATCATATTTATTAATGAATGAAAAAAAAAATAAATCTAAAGAAGCTAAGGAATAGAGAATAAACCTCATGAGTAGGGGCTAGATACAGACTTAGAGCAGATCCATAAAAAACAATAGAATCTAAATTAAATATGGTTAATTTAAATTCCTTTGATTATAATAGACTATTTTGGATAACTCTGATCCTGTCCATTTATTCCATGCTTCTCAAGTGAAAATGCTGGAATACTTACAACACTGGAATGAATACTATTGAAGATTTAATACCAAACCCTCCTTTTACTTTGTGATGTCATCACATGACACAACTTACACAAAATTCAATATAATCCTCCTTTCTTTAGTAAATACTTGGGAACTCTAGATTGGTTCCAATATGGAAATACTATAGTTTATTACACAAAATTATCATAGTTCAGCTCTGACTGATCCATAGTACACACAAAAAGCATCCACTGTGAGTCCAGTGGCCATTCTGAAAACATATTATGGAGGGCATCTTGACTACAAGAGGGCTTCAAGTTGTAAATGTTAATGTATTCAAATTATGCCTTTCTTTGTTTTAATGCTTCAGTTTAGTCCTCAGGTATCATAATTTTTAATTTCTTAAGGTTAGCATTTCCAAAAAAGTAGTAGTAGCCAATGGCTCTACTCTCTGGATTCCCAAAGTCAACAGCTGTAAATGGCAGGTGTAGCAATGTGATCCAAACTCCATCCCATTTGTGTAAAGTGTCAATGTAGACAAAAATGGGAGGCGTGAAACATGACACTAAGCTCACCATCTTGCAAAAAGTGACCTTTTCCCTATCCTTATAAAGATCCTTGACACAGCCTTCTCAGACCACTTACAGTTTATTTAAATTCTTTGGTCATTTGGGAATCTATCCACTTATTCCTTTAAATCTTTCTCAATTGTCTTTCCTTTTTCTCTCTTCTTCCTACTGTTATCAAAAGAGGAGGTGAGATATACAGGATGAAAAATTAGTTCATTTACTTATACACACACACAAATGCACGTACAGGAAGCAAACAAGCATTTCAACATAATTCAGTATGTATTTTACATACTTATGATAAAAGCAGCTGATGACAAAACCATAAAAGAAAATAAAATCTTCAGTATTTACTATAGCAATATAGTAGCAATAAGTTAGACTTATATACCGCTTCATAGTGCTTTGCAGCCCTTTCTAAGCGGTTTGCAAAATCAGCATATTGCCCCCATAAATCTGGGTCCTCATTTTACCGACCTTGGAAGGATGGAAGGCTGAGTCAACCTTGAGCTGGTGAGACTCAAATTGCCAAACTTCTGGCAGCCAGCAGTCAGCAGAAGTAGCTTGAAGTACTGCACTCTAACCACTGTGCCACCACAGCTTGCTACCTAAGAAAGCTGGAATTAAAATCCGCTACTCTTTTTTGTATGTTACAACAACAAAGTAAGTGCTATGTGCACACAATGTAAATGATAAGTAAGGACTTAATTCATGTAAATCTGAGTGTACCTCAATTCTATCTATGTGTACTACTTAGACTTCTTTTAATATCTGCCATTATTTCAAGATCATGTGCATATGCTTCCTGAACACTTACAGAACTTTTCATCACAGTGAGTACTTCAATTACTTGATGGGTAAAGTTTATTTTACCTTTTTTGGCATTATTTCTGAATTTTTTAAAAAAAAAGTAAAGGAAAAAAGCAAATTGTATGCCCAGTGGGAATTAAAGGAACTATGTGGACAGATAACTTTTTTCAAATTTTCTCAAAAACGTTAATGCTCTCTTTTGTGCCAGCAGTTGAATTTGCTAGCTTTATTTTCTAACAGAAAATCTAAATATCTAACAGTTCATTGGGCAGAATACAAGCATAAGAATTCTGCCTTCCAAAGGGATTTGGAAACCCTACTATGCAGAATTGCAAAGATGTCTGAAGTCAGAAGAGATCTAATGAAGATTGCTCTTCTCAGTTCACTGACAAATCTTTCTTTGATAAAGAGCTGTATTCTACCTGAACTGATCAATTAACCAAAATGTTTGTCCCTACCTGCAAAGCAACTACAAACCCAGTTCTAAATTTGCTAGGTATCAGGGTCCATCCTCTTTACTTTCTGCAGTATCCAAGAAGCTGCGTTATTTCTTACAGTATTTAAATAATAATGCAAAATTTGCTACAAAGTGTTGGATTAAGGCAAAGCATTACTTGATTATAAAAACCAATCAGCAACGTCCACTTTTTAAAAAGATTTACTCTCATTAACAACAAATGCCTAGCTTCAATCTTTTATTATATACTTTAACTCAGCTATTTCCAACCTGGTGCCCTCCAAATAAAATTCTGGATTGAAATTTTCAGTTTCACAACTGAAACGCCACAAGAAGCTCTCAGACCAAAGCTAATTAGTTATTCCCCTTTCTATTTCATGTGAAGGCATAAACCCTATTTCTTCCCATGTCTTTGCTTCTACAAATTTAAAGTTTATATAAATACATCTTGAAAACCAACACCCGGCCATGTTCTTTTCTTGTCTTCCCATTTGTTGGAGTAACCTTTAATGTTTCAGATGTTCACAGAGTGAGCATGTTTCTTGCACAGAGGCTTATCCTTCTTGGAGAAGAAAGTCTGGCCCTCCAAACTCTCACAGCATACCTGAAATAGCATGAAATGAATTAAAGGCCAGTGTTCTAAAACTTTATATACATACATAAAATATAGGACCTTTCACTATTCAGTGCCTTATTGAACTACCGTATTTTTCGGAGTATAAGATGCACCTCCGCCCCCCCAAAAGAGGCTGAAAATTTGGGTGCACCTTATACTTCAAATGTAGCTTTTTTGAAGCTTTTTTTCAGCACTAACGAGGCACTAACAAGGCACTAGCGAATGATCTTCTCAGCTTTGCCTGCTCCCTCGACTCTCCTCTCCGCTTTAACGAGGTGCTAGTGAGTGAAGCGATCTTCATGATTTGCTCCGACTCTCAGCTGTTTTTTCAGCCCTAACTAGGCACTAGCCAAGTGAAGCGATCTCCCCCCACCCCCGTGCTTTGCCTGCTTTTCTCATTGCTGCTTCCTCTCAGCTATGCCTTAGAAGCTGTTTTTTATCCCCAAGCAGGGAATAAAAAACCAGCAAACTAATGTGCTGAAGCTGACCAGACTAAGGACGCTAGCCAGATGAATACCTGGTAGGCAGATTTTCCCCCCTATTTTTCTCCCTGTGTCTTATACTCCAGTGCGTTTTATACTCCAGTGCGCCTTATACTCTGAAAAATACGGTAACTAGATTTCTTTGCTTTTTGTCATTGTGAATTATTATATAAAAATGGGATCTGCAAGAAAAGTGGTGCAAAATGTCCTTGGTTCAGTCTTGATATTGACTTCCACGCTCTGTAATCTATTTATCATCTTCTTGAGTTTTCTTCTTTTTTTTCTGATTGAGAATCAACCACATTCCATGGCCACTAACGATTTTTCATTTTCTATGGGCAGTTGAGAATTCTGTTCCATTTTTAAAGAATTTTTGCTAAGTATATTGTTGACTTCTGGGGGTGGGGGGTGGCCTAGTGGTGAAGGCGCTCACCTTCCATGCAGAAGGTTGAGAATTCAGATGTTACTCTACTAGGGCAGTGGCCTCCACTTTTGGGCACCAGGGACCAGTTCCAAGGAGAGAGGTTTTTCCATGGACATAGGGAGCGTGGTTTCACGTGCTGCCCTTATCCCATGAATGGGATTTTGTTTGTTTGCGCGGCCGGGTTTTTGGCATGTTGCAGATGGGTTCCAGTCTGTGGACTGGGAGTTGGGGACCCCTGTTCTAGGGCATAAAGAAAATATATCTGCTGCACTACACATGGCATCGGGAAGGGCATCTGGCTAGTAAACTCTCACTCCATCCAGTTGTCCCAGCTCTACCCCAAATTAAGGGATTACAGGGTCGTAAAAAAGGAGTGTTTATTGTTGAATTCTGCATAGTTGTCCAATTATTCTATACTACTTTTCCTGATTGTTGCTATTAAATGTTTCTAAACTGTGTTTTACAATTGCAATCATGTCGAAGTGATGCATGGTAAAACGAAAATCAATCAAAAATTGTACAATAAAAATCAAATACTAAGACCACAATGGAACACTAGGCGTTACATTATATTTTTTTAGTCTTTGAAAGTCAACACTAGCACCACGAATAGGTTTGGAAATAAAATAATTGTTTTTAATGTTGAACACAATGTAGGAATGACCAATACTAAATACTAAGCTTTCATAAGCAGCTGAAATTTTAAACCTCCTTGTAATAGCAGCCCAACATCTAACACATTATATGTTGCCTGGACAGGATCAAAGCATGAGTAACGGAGTAGCAACAACTATAATCCCTGATGAACTAAACGATGGAGTTCTGTGTTAAATGACTACTGCTTGCACATTTGAACTTCTTCATGTTCTTGTTAACGAGAAGCTGCAGTTACATTCATGATCTGCTTGTGGGCTTTTCATAAGAATCTGTGGAATACAGAATGCTGGACTAGATGCTAGATATTTTGCTCTACCAGCTTGGTTTGTTCTTATCTTTCCACCTCCTGCACATTCCTCCATACATGATTCATAATACATTTTTATACTTACTGAGCACACAAAACAGGTATCATGCCAAGTATGGCCCAAGGCTTCCAGAAACCTGTCCCCAGCTTCAATAGGGAACTCACATCCATGGCACATGGAACCAAATAATGCATAATAATCTGTAGAATACATAACATGGACACTTAACAGAATACCAGCAATTTCAGCAAAATCTACAAGAGCATAATGCCTACAACAGTGAGCAAAATTCTTGAAGATTTTTTTCTTTTTGTAGTTTAACAACCCACTCTTCCTTGTAGGAGGATTAAATATTTGGCTATTTGGCAATCTGATTAATCTAAGGGTACAAAATTAGTTATCACCACCAGATGGCAGCAAAGAAAATAGAGAGAATTCTTTGCTGCTCTCCAATGTCTGCCCTGATTTGGTAAAATACATAAAAATCACAGCTAAGGAATCCCCAAATATATGGGAATTATTAGGGTCACTGTAATTTTCCAAATAAACTTTTTTTTTGCAACAACAATTTGATTCTGTAAAAAGACCAAGATGAAATACCATTCAAATGGTAATGGATATAATAAAAGAATCACATGCAAAGTGGAATTTATCAAAGATTTTCCTAAGCCATGTGACTGTTTTGCACAATTCTTTTTATATTCTATACACACTGTAGGCATGTCCTCCAATAACCTATTTATTGCAGAGGTGAAGGGGCCAAATTAAAATTATGCACAATTTATTTAAGATAGGTGGCGATTTATATAAACAATCAAGTACACCTATTTCTCCAGCTACCAACTCAATGCTTGAAGTTAAACGAGAACTACTTTATCAACTCAAGGAGCTTGCCAAATTTGTATGCTATCTTTGATGTGACACATTATTCAAATATATTTATTTTCAATCTGACAAGCTCTTTCATCTCTATTTCACAATATCATACTGAAAACGAATGTAGATCTGTTTAACTTGGCTCCTGCTTAGACTTTTAAGAGGTTTACAAGCTTTTGACGGAACAGTAGCCAGAACAGAGTGAAGTGCTTCTGTTTTCTTTCCTTTTCAACCCCAGACACACAGTCTTAAGATTTTTCTCCTGTTACATTAACCATGGTAACAGCAGCCTAAAATAATCTGTGCAAGGACAGGTCACAAAAGGCAGATCAGAGATGTACGATTTCTAAGTGTAGACACTGAACTTGTATCTTTGATTCTGTAATGTCACCTGAAATTCCAGTTGAAGAGAAACCTCCCATGAAAACTCATGGGATGAATATTTCAATTGTTTTTGTTATTTGTTGAATGTTACTTCCATTCAACTTGTGAAACTGGGTTAAACCCAGAGGTGGTATTCAGCCGGTTTGCCCCAGTTCGCCCGAACCTGTAGCGGAAATCACAGGTGGGCCTGCCCCGCCCACCTGCCCTGGCTCTATTCTGCACATGCACCCTGCCTCAAAAACATGCCTAAATAGGATGCTATTTAGGCATGTTTTTGAGGCTGGGTGCATGTGCGGAAGGCGCGCGCACCAGCAAAGTGCATGCATGGAAGGCTGGGCGCATGTGTGGACGCAGCATGTGGGAATGCACACGCTCACATTTGTGAACTGATCGGGAAAGTAAGTGAATACCACACCTGGTTAAACCCCAGTTCCTACTACCACTGATGATGTTACCTAGTTTGGGTAATGAAACATCTCCAAGTAAACAACCAAGCTCAGCGTCAAGGACCCCTCAACCCTAAACTACAAATACAGATAGTCCTCGACTTACGACAGTTTACTTAGTGACCGTTGAAAGTTACAACGGCACTGAAAAAAAGCAACTTATGATCATTTTTCAAAGCTGTGACCTTTGTAGCATCCCCATGATCATGGGAACAAAATTCGGATGCTTAGAAACTGGTTCATACTTATGACCGCTGCTGTGTCCCAAAGTCATGTGATCACCTTTTGCGACTTTCTGATAAGCAAAGTCAACGAGGAAGCTAGATTCACTTAACAACCGGGTTACTAATTTATCAACTTCAGTGATTCACTTAACAACTGTGGCAAGAATGGTCGTAAAATGGGCAAACCTCCCTTAACAAATGTCTCACTTAGCAACAGAAATGTTGGGCTTAATTGTGGTCGAGGACCACCTGTATTCTACTTTATCTGGGTTATACTTTTTCTTTAATTTACCAACTTTGTGGCATCTGTTTTGTTTGTGAAGCAATTATTGCCTTTTGCCAGGAAAAATGCCCATTGGTTTTTGCTTATTCAATTGCATGCAAGCAAGAGTGTGACTATTTTCCTTACAAAGAGAGGATGGCAATAAAAGAAAGGGAATACAGTAGAACCGTCTATAAAAAAGAAAAAGGAAAAAAAATGAAATAGGAAAGCAAACCCAAGCAATAACTAATTTTAAAAAAATCAATGAAAGTGACATACATTATATACAGTAAATGACTAATATACTGCTGTAGGAAATTCCATATAGCAGTAGCAATAGTACTTAGACTTATAGACTTATATACCGCTTCACAGTGCTTTACAGCCCTTGCTAAGCAGTTTACAGAGTCAGCATATTGCCCCCAACAAGCTGGGTCCTCATATATACAGTACATACATAACTTTCCATTTTAGATATATTAATCTTTTATTTCAATATTTTCAATTCTACAGACAGCAGTGTATGTGATGACGCACTTTAAATTCCAGATTTAATAATTCTAAACTGTCCTCCTATTTTGTATCTAACCAAGAACGGCATTTCAGTTCAAATGAACTGGGGGACATTCTGCTTCACTGTAGATGGTGCTAACAGCATGAAACGGACCTGTTTTCAAATGTTATTTTAAAAATAGAATCTACCAGCTGAACTGGTAGATTCCCATCAGCAAGGAAAGAATAGCCCAGTCTTTTTTATATAAATGTCTTCTCATCCCTTTATTCCCCTTATTTGGGTTGCTATAGGTAACACTCACCTGTCTCACAGTAAGGGTCGCCATCTTCCAAGTGGAAAATATTGTTGCGAATGGGCTTGTGACAGGCCACACACACGAAGCAGGAGACATGCCAAGTTTGTTTCAAAGCATTTATTACTTCCTAGCATTGAAAGCAAAGCAAACAGGGTTTATGTGTCAGTACTTGAATATTTGAATTAGATAGCTTACATTTTTCTGTATATTTTTGGAATAGCATAAAAACTGGAAAATGCATTCTTGTGCATTGATGTTATCAACTCTACAGCTACCGTTCAAGGAAAAGCTAAAAATTGTAATTCTGGTAGAAGGACCTGGATGAGTCCTAGACACTTTGTACTTTAAATACCACAAAATTCAGTTATGATATTTTAGAATTTGAAACCTTTTTAAATGCTGGAAAGTCTTTCCACCTGACATTGGAAAATACATTTCAAAAATTATTATTATTTTCCAGCTTCTTGGGATAATCATAATTCAGGGTTCATTACTGAATAATTAGTTTGGATTTTCAATTACCATTAGCAAGCAAGAAATAGGCTTTATGTAAGCATACATATTCTCAATGAGTCTATTCGCCTCTTTGAACTCTACTTAAAAGAGCTGATGCTAAAATGTTGGCTTTCACATCCAGTATAGCCCTTTCCCAAACTACCAAGCATTAGCAATAACTTAGACTTATATACTGTCCCACAATGCTTTACAGCACTGTCTGGGGTGGTTTATAATATCAGCATATTGCCCCCATCAATCTGGGTCCTCATTCTACCAACCTTGGAAGGATGGAAGGCTTAGTCAACCTTGAGCTGATCAGGATCAAACTTCTGGTAGTGGGCAGAATTAGCCTGCAATACTGCATTCTAACCACTGGGCCATCATGGCTCCTCTACATGATAAAGTTACTCTCAAACTCAACTCCTTGTGACTCTACTGATACATCTATGCAGTAATATCACAGTAGTTTTGTGATTGCCTCCTTCTGGGATGTTTTTCTATTTCCCAGGCTTATCCATTGCTCTGGAATTCCTGGTGTTTTCCATTCAAGTAATAACCAGATCCAAGTTGCTTCCAATCCCAGAGAACAGTAGCCAGCTGTTGAGACTGGGATTAAGATACAATAAAATATTCTGGAATGGAAGAACTAGAGAAAGACAATGCATAACTTTAAAGATAAATTCTAATTTTGGAACCGAGATAAAGAAATTATTTTAGTGCTCCTGCATCAATAAATACTATTTACAGAAACAGCTGGTTTGAGTATGTGAGTTATCTACTCCATAATGTTAATTACAAATTGACATTTTACTTACTCCAAGTATCTTCCTCTGGCATCGGGCACATTCTGGGGCAAAGAACTTCTCATAGCAACCCTCACAGTAAAAGGCTCCCTTCTCTTCCACAAAACCAATATAAGCCATGGAAGTTTTGCAATGAGCACAATTGAACTCTTCAGGGTGCCAGGATTTTCCCAATGCTACGAGGAAAGGCCCTCTGTTTCAAATAAAAATAAACATTCATTTTAAACTCCATGCTTAATGAAATGCAGTCAAACATCTACTTCCTATCTTCTTTCAGCAGAAAGAAAGCAAAATTAGCTTTAGCAAAAAAAAAAGCTAAAGAGAGAAGAAACTTCTACTGGATTTTTTTTTTTTTAGATCGAGGTATCAGTACTTACATTTAACTCCATTAACAAGCACTTGTCTTGATATCATTCAAAGTAAGCTTTTAATGGATAATTTCGTCTCTTAAAAGATAAAATTCTAAAAAAATCACGACAGCTAAACATAAACCCAATTTTGGTACATAAAGTTCTGAAGACCCAAAAGTGATGTAAGAGATATTAGAAGTACACTATATGTTATCTAAGGGATGCGGTGGCTCAGTGGGTAAGACGCTGAGCTTGTCGATCAAAAGTTCAGCGGTTCGAATCCCTAGTGTCACGTAACGGGGTGAGCTCCCGTTACTTGTCCCAGCTTCTGCCAACCTAACAGTTAGAAAGCACGTAAAAAATGCAAGTAGAAAAATAGGGACCGTCTTTGGTGGGAAGGTAACAGCATTCTGTGTGCCTTTGGCGTTTAGTCATGTGGGCCATATGACCACAGAGATGTCTTCAGACAGCGCTGGTCTTCAGCTTTGAAATGGAGATGAGCACCGCTCCCTAGAGTCCGGAATGACTAGCACATAGGTGCGAGGGGAACCTTTACCTTATATGTTATCCAAGAGTGGAATAAATACAGGTTTCACAATGGGCTTCGCCTTGGAACAGAATGCTTATGCTTTAATACAATTAAAATGAAACATAAAATAAAAAAAGGTTCTAGGTCAAGGTAGAACTTTCTGGTTCTACCCAAGATACATCTAGACATGTGATAGAAAATTCTTATACTCTGATGCGTTCACCATAAGGATTGAATGCATTGTTTTCATTTAGTTCCTCCAAATCAAAAAGCAGAATTAAATCAACCAAAGTGAAAAAAAGTTTCAAAAAAAAAAAAGAAAGAAAAAGAAAAAAAAGAATGCATGCCATTTCATCTGTAGAACCATTTTCTGCCTATATGTAAAACACATAGTTACAGGATAACTATTTCTCAAAATATTACAAAGCAGTGTTTTAATATTTGTAATATTTATGTTTACAGTGTTTACAAAGCACGTTTGCACCTATTAAAAATCATTTGATAAATAGAAACACCTGAATTCTACAGGTAACCTTGCTGCCTTGTGGATATCAGAACATTTGGTCTAACCCGATACCCTCTAACCTCTGTACAAGCATCTTTAACATCAATGCTCTTTCAGCTACGTAAGAATCCAATTTAAGTCCTTATGTATAACAAACTGCTCTCTTCCCACAGCACAGTAATTTATGAGGCTCATTAGAAAAGACCACGTCTGAGGAGAACTTCTGGCCCTACTTAGGATCAAGTTTCCAATTGTCTGCACTAAAAGTACAGTCTTGGAAGAAAACATAATAGGAATTTGGAAGGAAGGCTAAGTATTTTGATATTACCAGCTATGTATAGCAGAGAATATTTAGACTTGGTGTGCTTTAATTTTCTTCAGCCATTTAAGAATTTTAATATTTTGAAGCTTATACCTGAAGAGAAATAAAGCTCCAGTGTGGAAAAAGCAAAATTATTATTTCCAGTATTTTGAATGAATCAATGAATTCTGCAGCTGAGACTACCACACGCAATGCCACTAAAGAAGTGAACATAGAATTTTTTCCCCCAATGATTTTATTATAAATACTGTGCATGAACTCAGTGGAAATCACATGCGGGCAAGAAAACATAATATAGTTGACAGAAAAACATCAATTGGATTTATATTCTGAGCAAAGATGGACAGCATCAGCAGTAATCCTTTTAAATATGAAATTTATGTAAATCAGTCAACGTCCTGTTTCATGAATGAAAATAATTTGGATGAAATGCATAAATGCACAGCTGTTTTGTAGTTAGAGGTAGCCAACTATGACTATGTCAATGGAAAGTAAAATATTGAGTTAAGTTAAGTCACGGATGTGCTCCCTTAGTTGGGAAAAAATGCTTCTGTAGAGGTCATTTGCTGGAACTGTTAATATTTATGCAAGACAATGCGTAAAAAGGTATATATATAAATCCATATTCTGTGGATGACAGCAGGTTAGATAGGCGTTTTTTATACTATTAAGTAAGCACAAAGTACGACCAGAAGTTGTCCTGATTTTTAAAGGTTCATGAAAGCATGATAAAAATGCAAACTCAAGTATCTTTTTCCAACAACACAGCTTTTCCACTTCTTGTGGCAGTTAAATCGCACTTTAATTTCTCATTTATCTTGCAGAAAATTTCTCTTTGTCAGTAATTGTAATGCCATGATTACTTAGGGAGAAAAAAAATTTAAAGAAACTCATACTTTAAAAAAAAATCCCTTCCATGAAAATGATTCAGAAATATATTAATACTATATAAATTGACACATTTAATTATTTTATTCAATGATATTCTGAGACATCTCAACTGTTGCATATAGCAATCTATCAAAATTTAACTACAAATATTTCACAGATATTATACATGGGAAAAACCAGGTAGTTTAGCATCTTGGTATTGCAAGATAGAATGAGAGCCTATAATAAGATTGCAAAAAAGTGTGATAAGTTTTAGATAAACGTATCAATAATTTAAGGATGTCAATTAAAAAGTTATGAGATACTCCCTCTTAAATTTGGGAGACTTGCACATCATGGTTATTTTATGTATTAGTGTAAAGTAACCAGGTGTACAATGCATTTGGCTGCAACACAGGTGTGCTGTGGAATGTCACTTGATCCAGTTCTTACCTTTTCACAGGTAATACTGCCTCAAAGGGCATGAACTGTAATTATCCTAAAACCTTAACCCCAAAAGCTGAAGGCTATCATAAGCTTCCCAAAGTATTATACTGCAACAGAGAGAAACAACATGATATAATCTTTATAAGAATGCAAGGTGATTCTATATAACCTTCTCACTTGTCTTTTATTTTACTTTCTGAACCTGTGTGAATATCCGCTTCTAGTAATATGCCCATATAAACCATAAGCTTGATATTATACCAATCAATACTCAATAAAACTATTCCTCTGAAAATTCCTGGATTCTATGATTGAGAGAATTATGAGAACCAGTAAAAGTACTTACAGTATTTCCATTATATAACAACTCACATGCTTGCACAATTTTCAGAAAACCGAAGTAAACACTTTCTCAACTTTCTGTTACAGTAGTGGCCAAAATTGTGGAAACCTTTTTGGGAAAAGTGTATTTTTGAGGTTTGATGGCTAAATAACACCACTTTTTTTTTTGGAGTTTAAAGATTATCATATTCCACTGCCGGAATGGCCTGGGAATAGCCCAGACCTTGACCCAATTGAAAATCTATGGAGCCGACTAAAGAAGCTTGTTAGTCAGAAGCGACCCAGCAATAAAACCCAGTGAATAGAAGTAATCATTCAATCTTGGTTTCACATTATAACAACCGTAGAACTAAAAGACTTGGTTCACTCCATGGGAAGAAGTTGTAAGGCCATAATTCATGCTAAAAGTTACCCAACAAAGTATTAACTGATGTAATAATTTTTGCATAGCTCATTTTTTCTATGGTTATAATTTTTGCATATAGTTTTTTCTATGTGTTTCACTTTTCTGCTTTATACTGTAATTGCTATTCTAATAGCAAATCCTTCATAAAAGTGATTGCATTACATTCTTGATTAAATTATTTTTCCACTGATATATAATTTTATGGTACTACTGCCTCCCCAAAAAGTGGAGTTTTTAGCTAGTTTTAGAAAATACACTTTTCCCAAAAGGTTTCCACAATTTTGGCCACTACTGTATATTCCAGATGAAAGCATGCATTAATTTTACTGACCATATTGTATGAACCTAATTAATTAGCATTTATTTGTTGTATTTGTTGTTGTATCAGTGTGCTTCAAGAGTTCAACTCAAGAATAGCACCGAAGTAGTTTCAATCAATGGGTTGTAATTACTCAAATACAAATTCCTTGTAGAATAAGAGATATGTCCTGCACCTCATGTAAAGCAACCATGTACTGTATATAGAAAATAGTACCAACCTGATGACTTGATTGCACTGAGCACACATTGGAGTCCGCTTGCCTGCTGGAATATGCTCTGCTCTCTGAACCAAAGTATCTTCATTGGTTTGCAGCTGTGCGGCTGTAGCTTTCTCACCAGAGGTTGTATTGTTGTTGGAAATCCATCCACTTCCAGCTGCCGTGAATTGAAATGGGACAAAATTGAGCTTGCAAGGAGAAAATGCCAGCAATCTCAATGTTTTAGTACATAAATGCAGAAATATTATGAATAAATTTATTGATAGAAATAAGTTTGCGATCGTTAGGGATATATCTAGCATTCAAATGATTTGCTTCATTCAGTACCTGTGAGCATCTGTGAATGATGAATTCGAGCACATCTTTTGCAAGACTTATGTGACCATTTTTAAAGATGTTTCTGGTTGCCTCTGCATGAATGCCCTTTATGGGCAGAGATACTTTCAAAACTACAAATCAAGAGATGCAAATAAACTGTGATGGTGCTTGATTCACATTCTCTCGGGTTAAAAAGTATCTCAAATCCTTTGCAGAGAGATAATGCTGAGGATATAATTTATATGCTTGGGACCAGTACGTTCCCACAGAGAGGGACTCCTCGGGGTCAAACAGTGTTGACTGGCGACCACCAGGGGGAGAGCCTTCTCTGTGGGGGCACCTGTCCTATGGAATGAGCTGTCCCCGGAGATTCGTAGGATTCCCGACCTTCGCATCTTCCGCCCCACCCTCAAAACGCTTTTGTTTCAGCAGGTAAGACTGGCCTAAATGTAATGTTAATGGGTTGTTTTATGTTATTTTAGTTTCAGCCAAATTATTTAATACTTTTAATTTGCTTTTAACCTTTATATTTGTGGGTTTTATCTTGGCTGTACACCGCCCTGAGTCCTTCGGGAGAAGGGCGGTATAGAAATTTAAATAAAATAAATAAATAAACATAAATTATTCCTTGACAGGAATTCCTTGTTTCCTATGGGTGTTCTCACCCCATGCCTGGACCTGAGAACAGATTGTCATGAATCCGGGTTATCTCTATCCTCCAAGACCATCTATATTTTATCATTAACATATTTTATACATTCATTCTTTGGTTCTATAGAATCTCATGGCCAATGGGTATAATGGGAAATCATCAGAAAAAAAGGGAATAGGGAATTTCTGATCTAAGATTCAAGGCTAAATCTTTGGAATGTAACTGTACTTTTTAAAAAGTAGATAAAGACTATAGTTTCTGAATGGAGTTTAGAGTTTAGTTCTATTGCAAAAATGCCCTTCAAACTGGGCAAGGGAATTGAATTCATTTTTTAAAAAACTGTAATTGGTAAGATATTTCTAGTATATTATACCGCAGTATTCTAGCTAACCTGCATTACTTTGACTTTAAAGGCTAGCTCCCATTAAAACAGTTTATCTAGAATTGTCATATTCTAATAAAGAAAGATTTCTTAAATAAGCTTTAGTTTATCTCCAGCTAGACAATTACATGAAGCAAATAAGAAAAATGTACCCATTAGCAGGCAAAGAACTAATATAGTTCTTTATTGTACACTAAGAAGAAATCCAAGTGGTGAAATATTTGAAATATGCATCAAAAATAAATTCCTTCATAGAGGATCTTCGCATTAAGGATGGTGTACTTTGAAAATAGTGCTTTTACCCTTGGGAACATCCCAGTGAATTTTTAAAAATCCACACAACCCTGCATGCAGCTAAAAGCGAAATTAAAGAACAAGCAACAAAGGATTTCAACAAAAAAAAGCAGGGTAAAAGTCAACCATGTCTGAAATGCTGAATTACTGGCAGATAACCATAACATACAAGAGGGTTAATAAATGAACATAATACAAAAATAAATTCTTTACTGATGTAAAGAACATCAGTAGAAGTAGAAATACTTTGTATGCAAAAGAAGTCCAGGTGTAAACCTTCTCATCTCTACAAGGGATCTGGAAAAATATCTTGTTGGAAACACTACAAAGCTAGTGCTAGTTCAAAGAAATAAAGTAAAACTAAGGTAAAGGAGTCCCTGCAGATTACTCCACTAGACATTGCCAACTGTAGGGGGGGGGGTGCTTATCTCCGTTTCAAGGACATTGATCCATGCAGTATGAAGACATTTCTGTGGTAATCACGGAGAATTGTTAACTTCCCTCCGAAATACTTGCATTTCCATGCTTTCGAACTGCTAGGTGGGCAGAAGCTGGGGCGTGGATGGGAACTCACCAGTGAATCCAGCAAGTTCTGACAGGTTCTGGAGAACCAGTAGCAGAAATTTTGAGCAGTTCAGAGAACCGGTAGCGGAAATTTTGAGTAGTTCGGGGTAACCGGCAAATATCACCTCTGGCTTGCCCAAGAGTGTGGTGGGAATGGAGATTTTGCAATATCCTTCGCCCAGGAGTGGGGAGGGAATGGAGATTTTGCAGTATCCTTCCCCTGGAGTGGGGTGGGAATGGAGATTTTGCAGTATCCTTCCCCTGCCACACCCACCAAGCCATACCACACCCACCAAGCCACACCCACAGAACCAGTAGTAAAAACATTTGGATTTCACCACTGGAACTCACCCCATCATGTGGTGCTCGGGTTTCGAATGTGAGCTGCCAGCTTTCTAGCCAACAAGCTCAGCATCTTAACCACGGAGCCATACGTGCCACCCACATCCAAAGAAATAGATAACACTAATTAGGTGTCATAAATTCTTAAGTGTGTTATTTGCTTTTCAATTTTTCTGACAGGCCCTTGTAATAAGTAGCATTAACTATATAACCATATCCGAACAGAGGTTCAACACAAGCAGCACCTATCTTATTCTACCAGACCATCCCTTATTTTTTTGTCCTACGGCCCCTATTTTGCATCTTTTCCTTTAGAAACAATGCAAAAACAGCTCTGTTTCCTGCCATAATATCTTGCATGCTTTTAACTCTGCCTATAGTCAAATTCATTAAAGTTTATTTATCTGCTCGTGCTTTGCCAATTCTACTGAAAAGGCAGTTTAGTCACCCACCTTTTCTGCCTGATTAAACTTCAAAGTCTGACAAACTGTTGAAGTTAAGAGATAAGGCTGGCACTTTCTGAAATGTTTTCAGCCCTAAAGTGACAACAGTCGATGCTTTTCTTTCCCCCTTTTCACTAAAGTGTGATAAACACCTGTAGATATTTATGATCCAGTATCAGGATAACCTTCTCCTGACAAATAAATAACGACAGTAAAAGAAATAGGAAAGGTTTCCAGAGAAATGTGTACAATAAATAAGTAATTGGTCAGCTTTTCATTATCAAGAAATGCCGTATTCTTTAAAATTGGCTCTTTTCTGTCTCTGAGGCATTCCATTATGACCCAGTGATCACAGTAATTTATTTTGAACTATAAATGCTCTTCAGGTCTACAAATAAACACCAGATAAGAGGGGAAGAAGAAAAAGAATGTTGAAGGGTACTGTTGTTTCTGTCAAATTGCACTTTTGAGCACCACCTTTGAGAGTTTACCGCTTCATTTTCAACTCCCAGCAAACAGGAAAATTGTCAGACCATATTCTTGAGATTACTGAAGCAACTATGTAATTATGGATTTTTCCTGATTATAACACCCCAGGTAGCAATCTAACGCATTTGCTGAGAATTTTCACTGTGTTTGAAAAGTTCTCTTTTAAAAGGTTGCACTTTATCCAAGTTACATTTTTATAGGAGCACAGTGTTGCTACTCAGGTAACATTAAAACCTAGAAGAACCTGTGGGACCTCATTTTCTTCGTATATTCCAGGTAAAACCCTGGAAATGATTATAGATGATGACACTGAAACTTTGATGAGCTGCATCCCCTCAGTGTTTCTCCAATCCCTTTTAAAAATGTCTTTGTCTTGTTATTGGCCCAACGCTTGCAATTAAAATGTACGATTTCCATTAATACAGAAAACTAATTAGCACTGTTCAATTGCTGGATTGTTGCAGCATCTGGAATTATGAACAATTCAGAGGCAATGGACAGATAGACAGTCTTTGGATTTGGGAGGTATGAGACTCATTAATAGCCCACAAAAGTCACACTTTCTCTTCTGTGATTTTGTTCCCTCAATTAGGTTGGAAATAAAAACATGTTATTGCACATCATTTTCGTGAAAGTCAGTAATGAATTCTGAACTGCACTTGGGAAGTGGAGCATTAAATAAAAATGTGAATTCATAATGTATTACAGCTGGTGTCAAATATTTTGTTCTAAAGGAAAAATGTCCTTGTCTTTATCGTTCACATGAAAAGGGTGGAAAGTTACCAGTACAGGTAGTCCTTGATTTACAACCACAACTAAGCCTAAAATTTCTATTGTTAGGCAAGACAAGTGTTAAGTGTTAAGTGAGCTTTGCCTGCATTTTTACAACCTTTCTTACCAAGTGAATCAATCACGGCAGTTGTTAAGTTAGTAATACAACTTTAAATGAATCTGGTTTCCCCCTTTGCTTGTCAGAAGGTCGCAAAATGTGATCACATGACCCTGGGACACTGCAGCCGTCATAAATACAGTTGCCAAGTGTCCACATTTCAATTACATGACCATAGGGATGCTACAACGGTCATAAGTATGAAAAATGAATGTTACAACAGCACTGAAAAAAATTATCATTGTTATGATAGCTTACTGACAATCTGAAGAGGACAATATTTGAAATACATACATGCAATCCCATAAATTTCATGGGAAGATGAACCTTAGAACCTATTCTGGCTTTACAATTTTACACCAGGATAAGACAATTAACCTAAAACTAATCATAGAACCCTAAAGCTAACCCTAGAACCCTTATATGCTACCCATACATGCAACTCTGCAACAGCTTCATAGTTTATTTAATACATTTAGAAACTACCCTACAATTTCTTCAACTGTTGGGCACAGAGTGTTGTCTCAGTTAACTAAAATTTTCTTTGCAAAATACACCAAGATATGTGTTTTGATTAGGTAGTAAATACTTTGGTTATATTTGTGTAAGTTGTGTGCATGTGAGGGATTTTGCTTGAATAGCCCAACTCCATAAATACTTTTGAATCTCAAGGGCAGCGTATGCTGAGACAAACCCAAAACACCACCTGTTGTTTGGGATATAAAAGATAAAGATGTCTGTAGAAGATATTAGCTTCACCGTAGAACACAAAATAAAGTAACAT